TTGGATCAGCCAACAATGGTCATGGTATTATAGGAAAGTTCTTCTGACACGTGTACATGTACAAGTACCTTATTTTAGGGGAAAGTATAAAGGGTTGTGTTGTTAGCTACATGTATGTATTTCATGACAAGTTATAACAGAAGAATAAGGTTTAGGCCTATACAATCACCCATGACAAAGATACATGTACATGTAGTTTTGTGGATAATTTATGGCATTGTTGAGGCTGAGTCAATTCAAATAATATTCAACCTTCAATTTGATCGAATACAGAAGACATGTATCCAGATATCAGTCGCACCGACAAACCATTTACAAAATCAGTTGTAAACATGCACACAATTGTACATTACAATCACTATAACAGCTTCTCACTTCCAGGACTATCTCCAGACATGATTAAGCAAGACTGAAAAGAAGAACAGTACTTCTTGCCTTGTTGACAGCTTTTATTCCTTTTGAATCTTTTAATGATTTACTTTTTGAATAGTACATGTAGGATGCATTATTCTGTTGCTTATCACTTCAATCTGCTTAGAAACAAGCCTCTTTGTGCGATTTTTCTCATTTAAAACAAGAAAATTCTTCTTTTGTATTAATTTTGCATCTGAATTATCGAATTCAGAAAATAGTATTCAAATACTCGATAATCGATGGAATAATCAGATATTTAGCACAGCCCTAGGCATTGTTGCTGAGTGTAACAAACTACCCCATGCAGGTACCATGTGTACTACAGGGAGAAAATTCACCAGCTGTCCAGCTTTCACCGTTCAAAAAACACAACTACATGTATAACAATATACAAAAGAGTGATACTTGGTTCATGGTGTGAACATGTATGCACATGTATACATCTAAATTTATTTATTAAAGTTAATGTTGGTGTACACATCTTAAATGCAACCACATGACTGGCATGGGGCAAGTGATGACAATGAACTAAGCAGAAAATTGTCCCTAGGTAGCAAGTCATCATGTCTTGACATCTCAGGGGGTCAAATCAAATGGGCAATGCTAATACTATGAATTGAATTGACTGCCATTTTGTGTGAAAGGCATTGCACTAGTAGATCCTTACCCAGATACCGGTACATCTTTTTGACTTGTCATGACTAGGGTGAAACATTACATCAATGTGCACAGTGCATGAAAGCAAAGCATAAACCATGCAATCCCAACTCCACCAAAGGCTTACAATGCAGCAATTACAAAAAGAAGAGTCGCGACTTTCAAAATTCTACGCTTGCCTTAAACAAGCAGGCACGCCTTATTAACACTCTGCTCATGCCTGGCTGTCCTTTAGGGAAACCCATGTACATGTAACTGGAGATGGCAGCAACAAAGGGAAGGATGTAATATTCTTCCCTACTGGGGCAGACAGTGAAGAGAGAAACCTTCTGGCTCGATCAAATCTTTATCAGGATAAGATCCAGGCCAATTACATTGCTGCCGCCAACATCACAGACTTCATGTGTCTGTGACACGTACATGTACATGTATGTGTACTGGTAGGTAGGCAAGCTTGAGTGGCAAGGGAAAGGGGAGGTTGAAACATAGGACAGTAAGGAGTTTGACCCACTTAAAGCAGGAAGATCTCTAATGCCCCGGGGTGGAGGCCACCGTCAAAGATGAGTTACTTGACCATCAACCGTTCAGACTGATGATCACTGCAGATTAAACTGAGCATTGAACTACACCTACGTGTAAATTTACTGCATACATGTACCGGTAGGCACTGATTTAGTTAACAGTAACATACTGTAGATATGCACAATGTACTGTTCAAGTAGGGGGATGCTTTAAGGATGGTTTGAAAATTCCTTTTAAAAGGTACATTGTAAGTCTTCAAGCACTCACAATTTACAAAAACTTACAAATATTTCATGCAATAGTGTCTTTCATAGAACACATGAAATACAGATACAGCTGTACACATTTACATGTAAATATTGTGGGGAAGTTATTTTCTTGGTGCAATGCTGAAAAAAAATTAATAGACGCCTTTATCATTACAAAATGGTAAACTTAGCATACTTACAGGTATGTACAGTACATGCTCAGTGACCTTACCATAAAAGCACTTCCTGAAACACTGCCGCACCTGACTATTGTACATGTACCAAATAAACCCAACCAGGACCCCTTCAGGGACTACCTATTGTCAGCCAACAATACTATCACAATGGGAAGATTACCGCAATAGTTTGTTATTGGCCCTACTTACCGGACCAGCCCATAAAGACATATTGATCAATGATTCACCTCTAAGAAATTGTACATTGAAAGTTAATGATACAGATATTGTATGGATAAGTAGGACGGGTCTTCGGTGGTACATATGTACAGTATGTTATGTACATGTACAGTGTACATGAATGAGATGAAATGTGGATTTTCTCAAAATACTTGAGCTTTAGAGCAAAAATATCGACATTAACTTGTGAAGTACCCCAGTACATGCACATGTACCCCACAGTAGGCCTGCTAAGTCCATGATACAATCATACTCTGAATAGTTACTGATAATGACTACACAGGTGGTACATGTATGCAAGTTGAAGAGTTGGAACATCATGTTAAGACAAATCAAATAAACCCCAGAATTGTGTGATTAGAAACCATAGAAACAACTTAAGCACTGCACACATATTTGCAGATCTACATACCAGTACATGTACATGTATAATTACATGCATTCATATTTTCACACTAGCCCATAATTTTAAAAGATACATGAACATGTAGACAAGCATACATGTAAATACAAAATCATTGAGAAGTGAAACTGAATCAAGCTACATGTACAGGTACATGTAGGACAAGAAAGTTCAGTCTTTTTGTTTCTTATTGTTCATTTTGAGAATGACTGAAGCATATGGTATGTACCAGTAACAAGCTGAAGGGGTTGAATCATCTACATGTGGGTGATTCCAAATACTGTCCAAGGATAGCCAATGAAGCAAGACTAGTGTGGCCGACCATAGTGTAGTCGACCTTAGTGTGGCCGACCAAAGGCCTTACCTGTAGAAAATACCTTTAAAACAGAACAATTTTTTTCTTTTCCCAACAACATGCATATATCTAAAAGTGTAAATCCACATTCTGCCTCTGTAAACTGATCTGAGCACTTTCTGCTTAATTATGCTCGGAAGAAAAACCTCTTGAAATATTTAACTAATATTTGTCCTTATGAGGAATAACAGTACAATTGTAACAAAGCAACCTTTTTCAGAAGTAAAAGCCTCCATTCAAGTGTGCTGATGTTTTTGCATTTTCCTTCCTTGTCAAATTGCCAGCTGTGCTTCCAATATTAAGGTTTTCAGATTTTAGTCCCTGAGGTCAACTACACAGTTCACGCCATGGGTTTCCTTAAACCAATGTTGCTAATCTTTTTCTCCAATTACTGCTTTTTCTTCCTTCTTTTAGAAGGAAATAAGTGGTACTTCTAACTAAAAGAATATGGACCAGAGGGAACAAAATGAAATTCTGAATATCTAGAACACAGCAATTTCTGTTTTAAAGATCTTTATACCGGCAACTTTCAGAACAATTTCATTCATTGAATATTTTAGTTGTTAATTAAAATGGTGAATGCAAAGTTCAAAGAAAAATCTACCGATACTTTAACTTAAAGAAAGAAGTTATCTCCATGACCTAAATTTCTGCAATGACTGCATATTTGTAAATTGTACACCTGTTTAGTCATGAAGCTTCCCCCTCCCCCTGGGTACCAATTACCAGCCACAAGTTGAATTCATTGCTATTAGAACCATGGGGGAAGGGTACACATTCACAAGCTGTGATTCATACTGTTGGCTTTCAAGCTAGGCAGAGTGTGACCAGTTCCATGCAAAACCCAAATCTATACAGCATACAGATCAAATAGATTTTGCTTATTGTGTATTTCACGAAAAAGTGCCATTTCATTTGTCCCTTGTACATGTGGTAATCACTGTGCAGCTAGCCATACACAAAACTTATAATGTAGTTCAGCAAAACATACTGTTTGTGTGAATACTCATACAAGGTAAACAGGTGATTCTTACAACTTTTGCAAGACAGCCCAGCAGACATGTTAAGTAGGCAATGGCATACACTCGTAGCATACATGTTCATTGACCAAATTAATACATGATCAAAACAGATTAAACTGAACAGTTTTTGTGTACACAACTGTCACTGGAGGATTTTTTCAGTGTGTACCGGTACATGTACATGTGTATATTTGACATGTTTGAATGGGATTTTTGGATAGAAATTTGTCACACAACTCGAATAACTCAGACAAAGTTAATTTAATAGTATCAAATGTCTATGCTTATTCAAATACAAAAGTCAAAATGTACATGTGTAATTTAACAAATAATGTACATGTATACATGTATTATTGCATAGCATGTACATCAGTACATGTAACATGCATGTACCACTTCATTTTATTTCATTTCTTTCAAGTTTTCGGGATAATGCATACTATATATTACAGACAAGAAAACAAATAAACACTGCAATAGACATAACAGAAACATACCAATACCCAATCAGCTCCCGCAGGATTACCCAAAAGAAACAAGTTTCTGTCGAGAGGCTCTCCTAACTGACTGGATAAAACATACATTTATAGAGAAACATGAATATTTACATCTAGTTTATCAAGATGTAAATCAGATTTATACTTAAATGCAAATACATGTCATATAACTTAAGGCTGGCAACATAAAAAGCAATAAGTAGCAAAATATCTACACAAATATGTACAAAAAAAGGATATTATAGAATGTAAATCAGATTTATACTTAATTCCAAATAATATAACTGAAGGCTGGCAAAAATAAAACTATGTATTTTGAAAGAAATATATAGTTTTATATATATAGAAATACCATTATATTAAACGTTCAAGTGTAGTAATCAGTAAACACATTATAACAACATTAAGATCGAAATGTGTTTCAAAAAGCAAAAAAAAAAATTGTTAACTTCCAGTAATTACCCACCTTCCTTGGTCACAGCACATTGCATCCATTGCACAACTTTTTCTTATTCCGTTTCCCAGGTTGAAGTAGCCTCATGATCTCCATTACACACTCAGCAAAAACCTCATTAACGTTCATCGTGTTTTTGGCAGAGGTTTCGTAAAAGGGTATTATCCACTTGTTGGCCAAGTTCACGCCTTCAGAGGTAGGAACCTGTCTTTCTTTTTCTAAGTCTGCCTTGTTTCCCACTAAAACCAGTGGGACTTGAGTGGATCCCTTGACCCTTATAATCTGTTCTCGTAGATTGACCACGTCCCCAAAACTCTGCTTGTTCGTCACGCTGTAGACAACCACAAACCCCTGACCATTTCGGATATACAAATCTCTCATGGAAGCAAACTGTTCAGTGCCAGCAGTGTCAAGAATCTCAAGAATAGACATAGTGTTCTCCACTTCGATGGCCTTGCGGTAGAAGTCTTCGATGGTCGGGTCATACTTCTCCACAAAGTTGCCTGAGACGAACTGTACAGTTAGGGCGCTCTTGCCCACTCCGCCGCTACCTAACACCACAACTTTGTACTCCCTCATCATTGTCTGTTCCTTGCTCTCTGTTTTTAGTTAGTGTCTAAAACGACGACAAATTCCAGTCTAAAATATCACAAATCCCACTCAAGGGACTTACGTCTTAAGTCTGGTCACCGTGTAGGTGATGATCACTATTAATTACCCGGTGAAATAACATGATAAGTTTCGGAGAAGATTTCACAAGCGTGCGCCGAACTTCGAACTCCACAAGGTTCTAGGAGGCGTCTACTTCCGAACGCCCAGCTGTTAGGAATGTAGCATCTCACTGCACTGCAGTAGTATAGTACATGCACACAATGCAGGCTTAAACTGGATCGACCGCGTACAGCATACAAAACGTGTACAAACTGCATGCACTGGTACTATGCATGCAGCGTTTTGAACACTCTGCCTGGCTATGAGAGTGGACCCTCTGAGCTAATAGAAATTAAGTGAATCGCAGTGAGGATATTAAAAGGGTGCGTGTCAATTTAACCTTGCATCTTGTCCGAAAAAAACTGGAATTGTTTTCTTTAATTTTAATCAGGAGCACATTTTTACAGTGCTGGACACCTGGAGGGAATATCTTTTGGGCTCAAAATAAAAAAGCTCATAATAATGATTAAACATAAGCAAGGTAGAACAATTTTGTAGGTTTACATCATGGGGAGGTTATTGTGTCATATAAATCCCACTTCTTTGCTTTCTCAGTGAATTAAGGGAGCCACAGTTCGTTATGTCACAAGTATTATATCTGGTCCAGAAGTGGACATGACAAACAAGAAACTACTAAATTCTGGTCAGCTGTCCTATACATGTAAGGCCTACATTTACATGGTCAGTTGAACAACATGTCACACAAATAAAGTGATGTATGTGTAATGTGTAAGACAACTTCGTTAATCAACTATCATGAAAGAATAATACATTTTAAACATCATGTCGATTAATGTTGGATATCTTTGCCCTGCCCGACAAATCCTTGAAATAAATATCATGTCATTCCTCCATGGATCTTTTACCCTTAATCTCATTGGACTAAAAATTAGATGCTAGGTCTAAATCAACTGCAAAAGCTGTCTATGTGGGGTACGCCCTCTTGCGCCGACCTCTTGATAAATAGACGAAAGTGAAAATTATGACGAAGATGGCGCCTGTAAACTGGAAATGGAATCAATGTCACCAATGACTGTGGAATGTTGATGTCTAATTTACTGCTCTTGCCGACCGTCAAAGGTAATTGAAAGTATTCAGTGGAAAAAGTATAAATTTTATTTTTCTTTTGTGCGTTTAACAAGTTTTGAAGCCGTCGTAAATTAATTGAAGGGCCTAAATTAAAATGGACAATTCGTCCATTAATTTAAAGCACGGAGATCTATTCTAATTCTGGTTCTGCATGTTAATTCTGCAGGCATGGTCTGTGAGACTGTGTTCATAAATCAATCATGATGTTCGTGATGACCATCAGTAGGATCATCATTCATATGATCATGTTGATAAATCCATGGTAGGCCTAAAAGTGTAGGCTATGATTTCATAGTAAAATTGGGATAGGCCCTGTCACGTACACGATTACTCGAGTCTGTAGCCATAACGTGAAGTTACATGTACATTGTAGGCCTACATACATGTTTGTGGCCGCTGGTAGTATTGTTACGCCCCAACTGTAGCATAAGTCCCAGCTATAGTTGGGATAGTCCCAACTGTAGTGCTGCAGTTGGGCTGGCCCAACTATTGTTGACCAATGTCTGTGGGAAATGTCTCAACATTATCCAAGTCAGTGTGTCTCACACTTGACACACTTCATCTAAAATGTGGCACTTCATCTCTTCATCAGTCCGGAGAAAACATAGTTGCAATATACACGTACCTCCAACAGCTGTTAGGCCTGTAAAGTTGGGAAGGGGAAAAAACTACCTTTTCAAAGGTGGGAGGGGCAACAGTCCCCCAGGCCCCCTGTTCCACCGCTGATGAGTTCAGCAGTTGTTTTGGGTGCCAGATGGGCATGGCACTTAGTGCTGTTGCACAAGCTTACAAATTAGATCAACAGTTTCCATACTTGCCTTTGAATATGAGTCAAATAACAATAAGCTTTCTATCAAAATTTATTTCACAAGGCCACTTGATGACATCATTGACCTGATACAGACTGTAAGGGTGTGGCTACCAGACCATTGGAATACATTATATTAGTTTGAATGTACATTTATTAGAACAATTTGATGTACATGTAGCGAGAGTGTGGCTCATTATCTTTACTGAATTCTTACCATTTTTTATACAAAGGATGTACTTGTACACCATATAAAACTTGGAAGGTCACTACATGTACAAGTAGAAATAAATATTGTATATCGAATTATGAAGAAATGCAGCATGTTTTTTAGAAAATTCATGGACTCGAATTTGAAACCTCCATTTTCATGGCGTAATATTATGATATCTTCTGATATACCAGTACTGGCAAAGTGGAAAGGAGTCTGTACCCTGTCACCATGTAGTCTATTCAACACCGTGACACCAAACATTTGTCAAATATAGCAAATTCAGCCTCAGCTGAGTTTCATCACTGACCATAAATTTTCTGAGGAAAATATTTTTGGGGGGGAGGACGTCATTTTTAAGACTTGGTGGTATACATGGATAGATGCTGATACTGTGTTAACCAGTTTTTGCTTCTGTTTAATTTGTTTGTGTGTTTGTTATTGTTGGTTTAACTCTGTGATCTTGTAGAGAGTTGATCACAGGATAATCACTTGAGGCAAATGACAATAAGCTGTATCTGCTAAGGAAGAAAGGGGGTCTTACCAGCAGTGAGCATGGCGCCAATCCTTACCCCTCAAGCTCAGGCTCAAGCTCAGATGAGCCTTACCCCAATACCTGGGCAGAGGGCAGCATCACCTAGTGGAACCAACAGCATCTCCTTGGGTCTTCTGTTGGAATTCCTAATTCAAAAAACCTACCATGAGCTGATGGTGTTATCAGAGTTACTTCCTAGAAAGACAGACATGGAAAGGTGAGGAATTGTTGATGCCTGGATCATATGACAGTTAAGACTTAGCAAACTGTATACATGCTCTTTCAAAAAAATATTCTCAATCTGAATTGACCTTTAAACCTCATGTTCTAACCTGGTTACTCTTCCTGCAGTGTGACATTTGTTATTTTGCTGATGTTTAGTGCATGTATTTTCATTAAGTTTATTGGTTATAAAAGGCCATACATAGGCCTATTTCGTGTGTATGCCAAAAATGTGTGTTATTTTAGATATGATTGCAGCTTTTCTTGAAAACAACATTCAACCAGGTTTAACTGATCATTCTTTGCCATTGCACACATTTTCATTGACATTTTCAAGCTATTAAGAGCTTTCTTCTCATCAGGAAAATTGAGATTGTCAAATTTGCTCGGAGTACAAGGCAGTCATTTGTCAGACTCTTAGCCTTAGTGAAATGGGCCAGCAGTGCTGCCAAAGTGGATAAATGTGCAGTAAGTACAGAAAGAAGTGCTCTGTCCATTTCTTGTTTCTTTTGGGCCTTTTTCCAATACTCAACTTCGGCTCCGTCTCAGGCTTCAACTGTGTTTTTACTACCTGACTTTGAAGCTGTAAGTGCATGTATTAGTCTAATAGTGCCACAAAACATCAAGTAAGATGCAAGAGAGCAAAAACTTACAGTAATCCAATTTGATTTAAACACTTCAGGCCCACAATCGGATTGGTTTCGGGGACAAAGCCTGAGACGGAGACAAAGTTGAGTATTGGAAAACGGCTTTGGAATCATGAAATTTTCTGGACTATCTCAGGAGACACATCGGTTGAACTTACAAAGTTTCCCCCATCAGAAACTAGGTTACCTTCACTTACCTGCAATATGTTATATAATTTAAATAGCATTAACTGGAAGCCAGCTATGGCTTAAGGATAGACTAAAATTTGAAACTTGTAACAAAGTTGTGTTTGATTCTTTTTTATTATTTGTCTCTGCCATAGGCCATTTCTGCCTTTCTAGATCAGCAGTCACTATTATTTGTGGACACAGCAGACATGTTGTCCCATATGGCTCGAGAGAACCTTGTCCATGCACGGTACGTTCTTCAGGAGTACAGCTTGTGTAATACATGCACTGATAATAACCAAAGAGTGAACACAGTAATTTGAATTCCACAAGGTGTGTCTACTTACATGTAAAAGTGTTTATGTGCATGCCCAAAATTCATCACTCATTGTGGAAGAGGGGCCAGTTTCACAGAGTTGCTTAAGCACAAAATTTGCGTAACGTGAGAAAACCTTGCTTAAGAAAACAAAGGTTACCATTTCAAACTCTACTTGATTGTTATGCTAACCAAAAGACAGCTAAATACGATCCCCAAACAATATACATCACATAGAGTTTTGGCTAGTTACCCGATTTATCAAGCAAGGTTTTCTTGTGCTTAAGCAAATTTTGTGCTTAAGCAGCTCTATAAAATTGGCCCCTGCAGTTGATCTGCCTGGGATAATAGTCTCCTCTCTTGGTTTTTTCTGTAGTTTGCCCAATTTCTCTCTCCCTGTTGCTGTGGATGTATTGACAACAGGACAGTACAGAAGAATGCCCACCTGTATCAAGGTTGAAAAGACTTTTACAGTTTATAACTGAATTGATGAAGAACAGAAAAATATTTAACTCTAGAATAAATGAATATATGAGCATGGGACTGTAGTTAGTTGTGGATCCTTGGCTAATGGAAATAGCTGTCACCACAGTACAAACCAAACATTGCTTCGGCAGTCTTTAATAGGTGTTTGGCCAAGTCTGGGAAGGTCCTAAAGCTTTGGGGAAAAGTCATTGATATTGATATCATACACTCAAAGATCAGATAAATCTCAGAAATCTCTGTTTCAGTTGAGAATAAGTATGCAAATGTAGTTGTACACAGTTGCTCTTAAGTTAAAGACAAGACTAAGACTGCATTAACTTGCCTACTAGAATTTATCCAGCCTGTTAACTTTTACCACAGGAGAAGATTGTACCTCCAGATCCTATTTCTCAGAATGAGAAAGCTAGCGTACTACAGCGACTGAACCAGATAATACAGCATCGGTTAGTCACCAGCAAATTACCTTCACAACTGTCAGACTTGTCCATTGGTAAGTACATGCACATGTAGAGCCAATTTTCAAGTTCTCAATCAGCACATCGTCATACCTCTGGTCCATTGCTGGCCAGGTTTTGCCTTATAAGAATCAAACGCCGAACACAAACCTTTTAAAAGTTTTCAACTATTGCTGTGTTGTGATTGCAGTTGATGGAAGAGTCAAGTTCAGTGTTCCACAGGAGTTCGAGGCAAGTTGTCTGACTTTTCATTCCTTGTGTTCTGTCAAAATAAAGTGGTTGATCTAACATGGTTAACATGGGTTTGTTTTTAAAATTTTAACCAGCTTTGCCTTTCATGCATCCCATCACAAAAATGGTGCAACAGGTGTTAAAATTAGTCATTGCCTGTAAAACAATGGCATTGTCAGTTTTGTGATAACAGGAAGTTTTAAGTTTTGAGGCTGATTTAATTTTTTCTTGTGACTTTGACAACTTTTTGTGGTTGCATGGGGTATGAATTCTAACATACATGCCAAGAAGAGTTATGGATGCAGTGTATCACTGATCGGATTTAACCTCTTTTCCAGGCAACATTAACATTGATGGGAGATGACCCTGGCATACCATGGAGGCTTCTAAATATTGAAATCCTTGTCAATGATCCAGACACTGGAGGTAAGACTATCAGGTCTGATACAACTTACAGTTGCGACTCATTGTACAAGTTGGTATTGCTAGTTTGTAGGAATTTTCATTGTATTTATAAGTCATAATAGAGATTTAAAGTTCCTTTTTATTCTGTGAGCTTCATTGTTTGTGTATCTGTGTATCATTTAGTAACTTGTTAACCGTCCAGCAGTATTCTCAAGGGTCAATTTGTTTGAGGCTTCATAAATATATTTTATCTGTCTCTTTTTTGAAATTTGATAATTGAATATGACTTTTATTTTTGTGTTTGTTTTTGCAGATGGCAAAGCATTGGTACATCCCATGCAGGTACAAATGTAGTTACAGATTACAGACTCAGTTCAAACGTTCCTTAAAAGCCGTACAAAATAGCAGTGTTTCAAAATTTAGATGCTGGCACTTTGTCAGTTTCTTGTTGAAAAGTGGCCATTCTTTACTGATACAAACTCAATCATTGTAATCATAATTCATGTCTTTTTCATTCCTACAGATCAATTACATTCATCAGTTACTTCAGTCTAGACTCTTTGGGGATGAAAACACACTACAGGACATGTACAATTGCTTGCGTATCCTTTTTTCTGCAGCCTACTTCCCTTCAGAGTTTCTTAACATATTTTCTGTATCATTTAAAACGTTGCAATTTGTAATTTGAAATTGTTAAATAGTAGTCTGTCCAGTTTGTAGGACTTATCCATTTTCTTTATGTCTTGCTGTCTCCATGAATCTTCAAGTTTTTTTACCTTAATAACTTCTGCAGATAGCTTTTGTCAGTCTCTTCAGTTGGAGGTGCTTCATTCTCAGGTAAGAACTAGTTGAGCTTTTTTGGAGTGCTTCTATTTCCTAAGATTAATGCACTTGCACGAAGAGACAGTACACCTGTCATTTCAGCTGGGACAGGAGCCTAAACCTGTCACCAGAGAGTTGTATAGGCTTGGTATTTGTAATTACATCAGCATTATATCAGTGCCACAGTCTTGTGAACCCTGTGAAATGATTGCTAAACTTCACCATCTGATTCTTCAAAAATCTCTATAACCTTTAGGTAGATATTTACGATCTACAAAATTTAGGGTTATCGTTCCAATGTGATACAGAAAATTACAACAAGTGCGTACTCTTTGTTATCTGTTTAGGCTCAGCGGCTCATTCGAGAGAGATGGGGTGAACATGTGATGATTGAGAAGTACACAGCTGGTCAGTGTCTAACACTGGCTTACTGGAGGTAATTATCCAAAGTTGAAATGTGATTTCTTTTTTAAGTGTATGTGGCTTACATTTTAGCGCAAACTTCTGAAAAGGAAGTTAAATATGTGTTCGTTTGTGTTTGCTTGTGAGATTAACTTTTCTGTTGGATGAGTGTATAAATATCTTATGAAACTTTTCAGTTGATGGGAATAAAAGTTAATATCTGTATTGTATGTATATCCATACATTGTGCAGGTCACAGAGTTTCAACGTAGACAAACCAGAACTGTACAGCTTATCAGTTGGTATTGATACCAATGACACAGCTAAACCCCTCCAGATTAACCATGATCCACCTCTATCAGTGGAAGATGCCAATGAAGTCAACAGGGCTATTCGGGTAAGGCTAATGAGAATTCCTGAATTGCAGTTGAGAGCGTGTCAACTGGACCATGCGTTAATCTCTAAAGTCCTTTTTTATGTCATAGTATTGACAAGTTACCTTCAGACACAGAAATGACAGTCAGTCCATTGTCTTCTTTCTTACACAGTGTGACAGGCTGTCAATTGAACGACTTCTTGTGGAGACTATCCTGATGAGGTCAAAGGTTAAGCTCAAGGTATGTTCTTTTCTGAAGCGAAAAAGCCTGTCTGCATATTTCACAGACAAATTAAAGAATGATTGAATTTTCTAGTGAAAGTTAGTTTGTTTCTAAATTTGTTGCTTATATCTGTTCACAGGAACTACAGAGTATCTTGGAAAAAGAGCTCACTAACACAAAGAGTAAGTTTTGAGTTCACACTCTCTATCCAGGTAGTAAGATGTCTTGTTGAATGACAGTTTGATCCAGCCTTTGTTCATTTTTTGACTGTTAATTTCTTTGGTTCTGTTTGCAGCACTTATTGAGAACACTCCACCACTGCTGTATGTTCCCATCATAGAACCATGCAGTCAGTCAGAATATCTCACTGTATCTGTGGATATGCAGACTGGTTCCTATCAACCTTATATCGCTCATGCGGGTAAGTTGACATGATCTTCCCTGATTGTCAAACCAACAATTACCACAGAAAACTCACTTTACCCGTGGACTTACACTTCCATTCTTGCAGTGACAGAATGGCATTTATTTATGAGTATGATTCTTATCCATTTTAGATGCAACATTGTTAGAGGAGATGGAACATTGTCTGAACTCTGAACTCATCAAATTGTACCAGTACATCACCAAACTAAGGTAACCTTCCTTCACTTACATAGCCTCATTATCAAACTTATGGTCATTCATGTTCTGTGTGAAACAAGGAGGTCTGTCCAAAATGGTTTGAAATACTATCCAAAATGGCCTGAGATATGTTCACTTTCCTGTATTATTTTGTGTTTCTTTATTCGCATTTAGGATCAACTTAGTAAACTGAATATGCAGGTGCTAAGACACGGAATTTGTGATTAAAAGCACATTCTTATTTCCAACTTAAAGTTGTAGTCAGTTACTCATTTAGTATACAGAAACAACATGTTGGACTACAATGTCATTTTACTCAGTCTTTGATTTCTTCCTCTGACACAGCTTCATGTTGAGTATGCATCACTGCAAGCAGTCTATTCAACAACTTCCATGCAAATGTACAGACAAATTGCCTCTAGTGTCCATATCAGCTGAGCATCCATTGGCAAAACTGTCTCAGAATAGACTCTACATACACCTGGTCAAGCATAAGAACTACTTTGTGGTATGTCTTTAGGTTGTTTACTTGTGTTTTTACTTGATTTACTCAAATGGAGGAATCACTGTCTCATGAGTGACGATACATCTGATTACTGCTTACATCCTGTAGATGGAGGCCATCGGTCATTCAGTACATCAACATAGCTTTGTGCTTTATGACCTCTGGTTTAGGATCAAATTGGTTTAGTATTTACTTTCCTTACTCTCCTGGAAAGCTGAGTCAGTCATTTTTGTCTTGGCCAATTTTAGGCATATCTGTACATAATAGACTTAATTCTGTAGGATGAACTCCAGCAAAACCTTCTGGAATACTTCAAATTGCTTCCTAGTTTGCCTTATGTTTCAAAGGTTTTTATCGCAGTCTTGTTTTATTTTCTATTTCTTCAGGTTGTAGAGTTCAACAGTATCAAGAATCAGACCCATCTACATATCCGCTACTACTTATTTCACACCAGACAGGCTGCATTTTATGATCAGTCTGCTGGAGAGGATGTACCTCCATCAACTCAATCTGATTGGGATTCTGGAGAACCTTTCCTTGCACCTCTAAGTTTGATACCTCTAGATGCCAAGAGTTGTACCCATGGTGCAGATACACTGGTGGAAGGTTAGTAATTAACCTACTTCTTCTACAAATTCTGAGGGGTTCAATAAATATGTTTGCATTAATCGAATTAAGGACCTGTTGGTTTGAGCTTATGGTTTCTTTATTGTCTGAGGTTGATATAAATGCAAAGAAATTCAAAACTCTTTTTAAATTTAATTTTGCAGCTGAAGAATTGAACCAAAACCAGAAACGTAAGGTAAGCTAATTGATTCGTACTTGATAAATTACCCAAGTTTAATATTTAAAAACCACTATTTGATTGTTGCTCAAAAAAAGCTGATGTTAGCATATAATTACCACTGTCTAACATTTCCCATTACCCCATCAACAGCTTGGATCCTCCTTAACAAGTTTCAAGAAACAACGCATAGACACTTACTCTGAGTATTTCCAGAGGGAGTTGGTGCACATTATTGCACTGTGTGACAGGAGGATACCTTTCATCTCATTATGTGAGGAGGTAAGTAGTTAAGGTAGTGTTCCTACAGCCCCTGGCAAACCCAGATATTGTTTCCGTATCCAGTTACTAGACATTAGTTCAGGATCCTCAATTCTGTGAAATATGACAGCATTAGTTATGTTTCTCTTTATACAGCTCGTGGAACAAGGCATTCCTTTTCAAGGAATTCAGGTTGAAGCTGAAGGTATCGGGATGGTGGTCAAGTTATGCAGGTAAAATCCAAACCAGACACTTCCATGTCCCTCATGTTGTACCTTTAATTGTTTAGAAAGTTGTATCATTAAATATGCAGTAATTCTAATGTCCATATTCAGGTGCATTGGCAGGCTGGAAGCAATAGTCCACTTGTGTAATCTTTTCTGAAACATGACTTTGGATGTCTTTCAAAACATCACAAACACGTTTTAGATTCTAACTTTTCTCCATTTTGTTTATCCTTCAGTTTGCCAGCCGTTGAAGGAGTTTCAGAAGAAATCAACTCGGTGCTAGCTAATTCCCTTCTAGAATGCTCCTTCAGATTGCTACTCAGAAGTCATTTATTAGTCTGGCAAGTACAGGTAAACTCACTAATAGTTTTTACTAAGCATGAGATATGATACATAATTACCTTTTGGAGAGTAAAGCGAAATGTTTCATCAGTTGTATGTTTTCAAGTCATCCTGATATTTCTGTTTTATACTTGTTTTGCAGCTGACTTTTGGCAATTGTCCAGTTAAGAGTACATTACCCAGAGAGCGAGGTATGAAATCAGGCCTTGTGTAAATATTGTCTGTGTTACTAATGTTGTTCATCTATTAACAATGAGAAGATTGTGAGTGGTACTCTAGTTTGATGTTATCGACTGTGTCTTAGTGTTACCAATTGTTTGCAGTCTAGGTAAGCATTTCCATATCTTGTGATGTATAAAGTACATGTGCATGGATGATGTGGGATTTCCAAACATAAAGGTCATATTTCATAACATGAATGTTAGAGGCTAAGTAATAAAATATAGATAAATCTATGAATGTCCCCATACCACAGGTTCCACAAGATGTTTGTACCTGACATACAGCTCAACCAGCCCTGTCGTTAACCAACTTTTACAAGATTGGAAGGCCATTGGTATGCTGTATGGACCAGTCCAAGATCTAGGATCAGTCATAAATGGTAAGTTTCACAAGGCATATGGCTTAAAATCAACTAGAAACAACAGAATCAGCCACCTCAATATAACAGGATATAACCGCTGGAAGAAACAATTTCTTCCCAGCTGTTCCTGTCACACAGTTGCCATCAGCAACAGCTTTTTTCCTCCCAGTAATTTTTCTTGGTTATTTCAATTACTTGATGTTTAGATCCAGACCTTCCTCTCAGTTCTGTTGCGGAAGTCCGCAGCTACACCTATCAGAAGCTTGTTTTGGTTTACGGCAAAGAAAAGACAAGTACTGTGAGTATTTTATCTTGTGTGTAGTCATTAAAGAGTGGAGAGGGCTTTTAAATGTTGAAGGGGCAAAAACCTTAGAAAAGGAGAAAGTAAAGTTATCAGTGACTGCTTTCCTGTGAGATAACTGGTTTCAATGTCAAGATTTTCTCTGCCTACCTTGCTTTTGTAAACAGACTATATGCCTACCTGTCTCTGATGAAGAACATGTTTCTTTTTGTGACAGGTGACGATATTATGGGACTCTCATGAGACACGATTTCAGCTGAGGTTAGCTGTGATAGGGACTGCATGTTCTTCCAACTGTCACCTGTTAGTCCATCGTCAATTAGAGCAGGAATTTAATACTCACAGCAGTCTCATTAGACTTATGCAGGTAAGATGTCTAACGTAACAAATGATGTTGATCAGCAGGTTGCATTTTTGCCATTTAAGGGATTTAAGACAAATGGAATTGTATATTTTCTTACTCCTTACAGAATATGTGTGACAGCCAACAGCCATTGCAAGCCATCAGCAAACTACCAATGTCACCAGCTCTTGGCGGACTCACATCTCAAGTAAGAAATCAAACATTTTTTAAAAAGATGGACTTAATTTAGTAAAAAATGTCTTGATAATACTCAGAAATATTGGATAAGGCTGGCAGTTCGTAAACGCAAGACTTACTGGTCAAAATTGACTAAAAGGACAAGTTAAAAGGTTTCAGGAATTGATACCTGAAAATGTTGGTTTTTATCTTCTAGGTCAGTATTAGTGAGCTTTACAGTCAAATGAGAATGTTGACTAATTATGGGATTTAACCAGAATGTAACTCAACTAAAATCCAACATCTGTTTCTTTGTTTGTAGGCTAACCTCCCATCCCACACTTTTGTGGTCATACCTCAGTCCAGCATTCATGTAAGAGTTGTCTTCAGGAAGACATACTGCCTGGATATTTTATGCAAAGGCAAGAACACAGCCACTGTCAGAGGTAAGTTTTCAGAGAAATGGATTAACAGTGGATGGGAGTGTACCATACAAGTGTACCATTTAAACTTTGTGGGAATGGTTGGAATAAACCTTGATGTTTTTCTTCAGATGGTGCATATTGTCTCTTTGATGTCAGCAAAGTGGTTGAAGGTTTAACCCCAGCACCAAACCTGAAGGTAATTGCTTCAATTATTGCTTACACGTTTATTTACTTAGTAGAGAAAAATTCTCGAGTAACATTGAGCATGAAATACAACTTACCACTGATGAATTACAAACATTTTCCATACATATTTCATATGTTACATGTATTAAAGGTCTTGTTTGCATAGAACATAATGTAATCGCTGACTGCCACTTGCCTGTGATGCATGTGCTTTTTACAATTGGCTGACATATTAAGTGTTGAGTATTATGCTGTCTTACCCAGTCATTTCTGGAGATGTTTGTTGATGAGTCCGTCTCCAACATGCGTCGGCGTTCCGTCAATGAAGATGATAATCCTCCATCACCAATCGGCATGGATACCGGTGATTCCTTCTTGATGTCACAGCATCATTCTGTCCCCTCTCCTATGGCAAGACTGGGTGGGACTGCATCAGGTGGATTTGTTCACCCAATGACCCCACCCACTGCAATTAGTACCAGTAATCCAGCCACACCTGCTTCACCGCACACGTCAATGCTATCTCAGGTAATACACAAATCTTGAAGCTTACTGGATTAATTATCAACAATATAGAGGAATTCTCAATCATCTCAGTACAAGATTAGTGTCCATATCAAGTCTGAAGCAAGGCTCAGAGGATCATGTTACAAACATTTCTTGTAATTCCTTGCATGCTTGTGTTACAGCAATACAGCATGTCTCCTGGAGCTAGTGGATATCCTTTGGCATCACCTCCATCTATTCCTTCTAACATCGTCCCATCGCCATCATCAAATATGTTGAATACTGCCTCTCCTGGTTTGTATAAAACCTATAATGTGGAGCTGTTTTTGTAACGACACCAATTCTATCATTGTTATTATGTTAGAACCCTCTGACTATTGTGTTATTAAGCATTAGTTTTTCTCTGTAATGCATGATTGGTGGAATCTTTCTGTGGTTGTCAAACAACCACTTTTACTTGTTGAATTTATCTCATCTCCATAAAAATGCAAGGGTTTTTTGCCATTTGCCTGCCTGACGCATAAGGATCTAAAACACCTCTGTCATTTGTTTTGACAACACTTCAAAGATGATAGTTGTGGTTGTTTACTCCAAATTTTTCCAAGCTTCTCCATTTTGATAATTTTGTTGTCACTCTTAGCACTTTATATATATCAGTTACTTTCCTCTGTTTCTGGACAGCTCTTGCTGTAGGTTCTCCAAGCAATGTTCCTCATCATGTACCATCTCCAGGCTCATTTGTACCAACACCATCTCCTAACATCCAGATGCATTCACCAGCTCCTGGGCCTTTCATCAGTCCCCAAAGTCAGTTTCACATTCTTATAATAATAATTAGCTTCATTAAAATGGTTTTGATATGCTTGTTATGAATTACAGCTGGTTAAAAAAGGCTATTAAAATGGTAAAAGCTACTTTTGCCCAACGAGCACCCCAACAAAAGACCAGTGTCATCGGGTGCTGTCATTTCTCCCATTCTACAGATTTGTCAGAGAATGCGAACTCACCCTATCCCAGCATGGGGCTAGCAATGCCTTCACCAGGCCAACGTAATTGGCCTGCATCCCCATCAGTTCCTGGACCATCACCTATCAATCGTTACGGTGTAGCTCATTCACCAGGTATGGCAGCTAGTCACTCACCTGGAAGTAGTGGTTTAGGACAGACAACTGGTTCGGCCCCTACACAAGGTAACAAAGTCATGTTAATGTAGATAATAATAATAATAACAATTATAATAATAAGAGCATTTGTAAAGCACCTGTATCTGCCTCAAAGGCGCTCGTAGCAATCGTAATATCATTATCCCTGCACATTTGGCTCACACATCATCTGAACATTCCTGAAACCATCTCAGCTCCCTGGGGAGTATACTAGCCTGGTGCTGCCATTTCAACGCAAACAGCAAAACATAACCGTGTCTGCCCTCACAGGGTACCCATTTACTCCTGGGTGGAGAGAGGCACAAAGGGGTAAAGTGACTTGTCCAGGATCACAACATGCTGCCACCATCTGGATTCAAACCCCTGACCCTAAGATCAGATGCTACAAACCCTAACCACTAGGCCACATGCCTCCAAGGATATAAACCCAAGATATCCCACATGTAGCATAAAAGTATTTGATAAAACTAGTATTAAAAAAATTGAATTTTGTGATGTTCCTATTTGTATAGCATTGTATTTTAACACTGATAATATTTCATGTACAGCTCCTATGCCAATGCGACCAGCTAGACACCTGCCATCACGTTCTTGGGCTGCTTCCATCCCTACTGCATTGTCTTATGAAGCTATCACCAAGATCTTTACCCCAGCTCCTGCTCCTGGAGTTATTGGTGGTCCAGCTGCCAACCTTTGCTGTCCAGCAGAGCGATTTCTAGGCTCCATACACAGCAAAAGATATCTGCAGAGAGTATTTCACAGTATAGAAACGGTTAGTTACTTCTGTCATTCACATTTCATTATTCGCTTTCATTGTGGACTATTTTTCCCTGAATTATTGGCCCCAGTTTCTCTTTGATTAAAAAAAATTGACAATGTTGCCCTATTCCTTTTAGAAACCAATAAAAATGGAATATTTTTGAAAGTCTAGTGATTGTAATACATTGATGTTTCTTCTCTAATCCTTTGTAATTCTTGCAACCCAGATACAAGAGGTTCCATCGAATGAGCCTGGAATGTTACACTATCGTACAGAATCCTTGCAGTACTGGGTGTCCCTGAACCCCAACACCATGCAGACACTACACCTACAGGTCAAACCTAATCCAGGTAAGCTAATTCTTGGATTTTCTAGCAATTATCCAGTCAGCCTCAATAGTTTCTTCATGTTTCTTTCATGATGGAGATTTTTTATATAAACTGTTCAATGAGGTTTAAAGAAAAATCCCATTTCTTAGAAGTTATATCAGCCCCTTAAGTTTGTTGCATTTGCCATTGGATTATTCGACTGGGAACACAGCTGTGGATTCTGGAGATCTTCGTCCTGTGTTTTCATCAGTACTTGTATGCTCCAACTTTTCTTTTAAAATCTCCAGCCCCTTAGAATCTGCTTCTCCACACCAACTTGGCTGTGCTCATATCTTTGGAATGTTTATGGGTCTGATGGACAGGGGTAATAATGTTCGGGTATCTTGAGCACAAGTGATGTGTATGTGGGCTTTATGAATACATGTACCCATTATTATCCACAGATACCAAAGTTATCTGTGATTTCCATGATCACAATGGTTTTCTTGAGGCAAATAAAAACAACTGGAAATGTCCCTTCCAAAACCTTGTCCATGTTTATTTTATGTCTTATCACTCAGATATGAATGACCGATGGAACCAGGATGAGCTGCAAGTGATTGAGCGATATTTTGAAACTAAGGTGAGTCTTACCTGAACATCAAGTAGCAAACATGCATCCATGCACCATTTGAGTTAACTTGGAGGGAAGCCATAAGTGGCAATATGTCTTATACACGAACACAGATTCCATATTTAGGATTAATGCCATTTTCAAAAAACCTCTGTGAGTTGGATTGTTTCCACTCAGCTATAGTGTTCTATTTTTGATAATTCCTTTATTTGATGGATAGCTGTATTGTTTCAATATCTGAATATCCTTAACATCATCAGGTTGTGTGCCCACCATACAAATTGAGTGCCATCCTAGCTTTTTCCCGTGCCCTGAGTGGACCAACACGTATCTTGAAAGACTTAGTCCAGTTGATGAGACTTGAACTGTTACCAGACCGTACCTTAAAATGGACAATCCAGTGGTGTCTGACTGTTCCTCCTAATGACTCCTTTGGTGTTGCTCCACCTGGTACAGCTGCTTTAGCCATCAAGACGAAGATGCTGTTCTTTGTGAGTAAAGATGATTTGGGAAGTTTAATGTTTTAAGAACTCTCTGAACAGAACACTCAACTTTTTAAAAGCGCTTACCTATTTCTTCATGTTTGTATATGTTTGGTTCTTAGATTCAACTGACGCGTATTGGTATGAATCCACCAGTGGGTCAGGATACTCAATCAATCGTCATCCCTATCGTTCATGACATGCAAGCTAACACAACCTCTTACGTTGACCGACAAAAACCGCACAATGCATCAGCTGCAACAGTCAGTAACATGCTCAAGAGATCCAATGAGATGTTCCAGAACAAAGGTCAGTTTTGTAAACGCCCAACCTTTTTATCCATTTGCTGCCAGGGAACCCCTTTTGAGCACCATAGGTTTATATGCAGAGCCGGGGTGCGCGAAATGGGGAAAAAGAGCTGGTCCATGTCACAACAGACCATACTCGGATCAAAAGACCTGCTGCTGGGAATTGCTATCATTTTTCAGCTTGCATTTTCTAAGGAAATCCATCACTGTTTTTAAACAGTATACCACTGTTTTGGCCATAGCACGCCCGCGGCTTAGCACCACGGACAAAAGTGCTCCAGGACCCCATCGATGAGTGGCACAGCACCGCTGCATGCTAATCCAGCCGCGTTTGAAAAGACGCCCACTCACATTCCTTGGGGACAAAGGAAATTACACCACACCTCACAATTCTGGGCTCTCTTTGCAGGCTGAAATATCCAGGAGTCAATGATGGTTACCTGTCAGCCTAGAGTAGCCACCAAACAGTCATTCGTGTGGGTGTAAACATACATTAAATGAAATGATGGATATTTGAAGAATTTTGAAAACTGAAAACCTTGAAAATCGCCTTTATGTGTGCACTGCATTGTTCAAACCACCCAGCAGCAAGTGGTTAAAGTTATGCTGTGGTAACTCACACGTCTTTGGTATTTTTTTTACATTTTTTACTCTTCAGTGACATTTTCCATGTAACCTTTCTTATTTTGCAGTTGAGTGCACCATTTTCCCAGTCATCAGGGACTTAATGACAAACCTAGTGTTACCTCAGTGAATGAAAGACAAAGGGTTTTCATCCTACATTTTCTCTTGATACGCCAGACATGAAGGAGCTGGGATGAGTGTTCAGTAAAAGTAAACTTGCCTAACCTGCCAAGAATGTATTTACAGTGTATATCACAAATGTGAGGATTGCCCTTTTTTGTATCCGTTTTGCTAGTGGGGAGCATTTCAGAAGACTTCTTGCCAGAGGATATTACAGATTTATTTACTTCACAAAATAAGCCTGATAACAAATAAAGCACAAGTACATGCCTCAACACTTAGGATAACCTGTTGTTGGCTGAATTTTTATCCTCTGGGAAAAACTTTCACTCTTGTAATTCCAGATTGGTAGAATGTAATATGAAGTTTATGCCTGTGCATATACATTAAGGTTGTTATGGGGAAGTGTAAATAATCCGTTTACATGTACATATTAGGACAGTATAATGCATGCTTTATATTAGCTAAGCGGATAATCATGAATTGATGAAATGTATCAATACTTTGATGAGATGTATACACGATAAAATATTTGATGAAATAATGGAGTCATGCTTCACAATATCAAATTCATCATACAAATCCATGTACACTGTACATGTATTTTAGATTTTCTGTTCATGACTTCCACATATTTCACACAACCTATAGCGAACTCCTTAAGAACCAAAGCATACTGATTGTCAGTGATGAAGAATGTCTGGTATTATCCCAAATGATCATTTCTAGTGGCTTATCTTTTTATAAGTATAGAATATATTTCAATGTAGTACCCCACTGTCATCCATTGTAATTTTCTAGCAATGGAAAGCAACTAGAGTAAAGATGTATCTGAAAATTGGAAACTGCAGATACAGGTACATGTATTATTGAGCTTAGACTGAATTCAAACTTTAAAAGACACATCCTCCAGCTGGTGATATTAGTTTGGGGGATTCCAGTCGGCAAATGTTTCAGCTCAATTAACATTTTTGCACCTGTTTTATGCATTGTTCAACACATTTGTTTGACAGTTACTCGGGATTCTGCAACTGCAGATATGCAGAACCACACATACAAGAGTTATAGTTCACATGGTGCTACCGGGGCAAACTGTTACTTTACTTGCCACCTTCACCTTAAAACTCTTCAAATCTCATCTGCTCAGGATTGTAGCAAAGTTTACATTTGTCACATGGCAAAAGTGGTGGCTGATATTTTGAACCCTGTAGTGTGTATTTGGTTTGGTAAACTTTACAATGGCTGGAAATAACTCATGTGGCAATTAAACATTTCTACATTTGTGGAAAGTACAGTATCTGGCTTAAATAAATTATAAATGAAATGAAGGTAAACTGCATATGATCCCTTTTGGTGTTGTATCAGAGTTAAAAACTTGGCACAAAAAGTTTGAACAACTGCTGTAGAACGATGCAGGAAATTAATAAAACACGAACCAAACATGAAAGGAAATTTTCCAAAGCAACTGCTGTTTAATAAGTTAATATCTTACTTAGCATGTAAAAAAAGAAGTCAAAACTGATGGCATAAGCCTTTGAAGTATTTACACTTTTAAAAATTTAAATTTTGCATATTTCATTTAAATGACATATAAGTGACACATTTCAAAATCCAAACGTCAGGTCTGCTGTGAACTTATTGATTGGTTATTAACTGCATGAAAACCTTGGCTATATTGTAGTTTGAATTTTTTTAAGTATCTCATTTCAGAAAGGCCTAGAATATTCTTGCATTGCATAACAGATGTACAGGCAATGATAAACTTCAAGACAACATTTGCACTGTACAGAATAAAAATGAGCCTTCCTTACAAATGTGCAGAAAGTTAACAATAATCACGCTGAAGTGACACTCATAAAAAAAAAACATCTTCCAGAATTCTAGATTCCTGTAACTCTGTATCTGTGTCTGTGTCCACTACATCCTGAAACAAGTCAGGTGTGCTGATGTAACGCTGTCTGATCATGCTCCTGCTGTCGGTTATGTTCACTAGTCTGGCATGGGTTGTGTTGGGTTGGGTGGGGGATTCCATCTCGGAAATTAAATCAGAAAGGCGAGTTGCATTACTATGGGGGAAAAATATACATGTTAAATGGCCAGGTAGACAACACTGAGAAGCAGCCAATTTCAATCCCATAATATCCACAAACTTTACATACAATAATCAACCTCTCACCTTTTCTTTTCTTTTGTTATACCACTGTGATATCTAGGACTTTGTGGGAGTGACACTGCTCGTCTGTTGGAAGTATTTAAATCAATAAATAAATCAATGTAAATATTTCCAAGTAAATTCTTGTTTTCAAGATGACTGACAGATTAAGATCACCCCTGATGTTTTCGTTGGATTACAGGAACCAACTCCTGGACTTAATAATCCAACACACACGCCAACTAGAAAGAATTTGTGCATGTGCAATTGTGCATGTACATGACGCTTGGTGGCGACAAACATATCGGACCTTGTGTCCAGTTCCGAGCATGTGTGCATTGTTTTGAGCATGCCTGAATAGTTCTCAGCTCGCACAATACCTTGAAAAAGGACCAGTATGTCTGATGTCACCTGCGTCTCAAAGTCTCCCACTACATGTAGTCTGCACATCTCAACTCACCTCCGTCGATGCTGCATTTGAATTGGTTCCCTATTCGTATGAGCAGCAGGTGCAGGGGTGATATGAACCTTCCCAGGGGACAAACTAAGGCCTCCCTTTCCAGGAGATCTTGCAGTTTCTGTTTTGTGGTCCTTGTACAAAGGAGATGTTGACCTGTCGACCATTCTTGCCTGGGACATGCCTGAGCTGGATGTGGACGGTGAATAAGATGGCATGGACCCTGCCAAAAAAAACAAATCCCATCATGGACCACTGTCAAGTTTGCCCACCGAAGCTTTAACTGCACTCATTAAAACATTGCTAGTAAAAGCAAGGTTAGGTTATTTTCACAGTATTGAATAGATTCAAAGTAATTGTATTTATTTAACATCTAAATGAAACAAAAATGACACCAAAATGAAACAAACTGTCATATGTACCTTGTACATGTATTTTGTTCCTTGGCTGGGAGTTGGGATACAGTGATGCATAGCCATCAATCTTAATTCCTCGTGTCCTCTGTGATGGATTTTCTGTTGCTATAGCAACTCTGGCATTTGACATATCAGTGCCACAGGGATTCCTACTTCTTGGACTAACATGTAATCTTCTCATAGAGGTTTCAAGGGCTTCTTTTGATGTTGATTGGTTCATGAAACTTTCGGGTGGGTAATTAGTTGAGATGACTTCATCACTGTCATTCTCACTCCCAGAGGGCACTTCATGCTGCATCCCACTATAAATGTTTGGTTCTTCCCATTCAAGATCTTTAACATTCTTCTGAGGGTGAGAGGTTGCCACTGTGCCACTGCCATGGTCAAGCCATTCTCTTTCCATGTGGGAGGATGTACTGTGTCTTTGCCCTTCCTGTTCCAGCTGGCGTAGTCTGTGGAGCTCAAGTTGGTTCTGTTTTTGGAGTAGTATCTTTTCTTGATCTTTGAGTTTCTGTCGCAGCAAAGCTTGCTCTTGACGAAGCTCGTGTCTCTGCCTCTCAAGAACAGCATGGCATTGCTCAGGTAACCCAGTTGCCTGGTAAGCTGGCTGCCTGGTTACAGCATGTGGGATCTCTGATATTTCTCCATGGTGGTGGTTGTTGGAACCAATCTTATCTCTTTGAGTGTTTCCTTGTAATCCATCAGGTGCACCATTCTGATGGTTCCAAAAAGCAGCTACATATTGTGGGGATTTGCTGTCTTGGCTTTCAAAGTCTGTCTCCAATTCTGGCTGAAGGGGTCTGAACTCCCCTGACTGAGGTCTGGATCCAAACATTTCTTGTGAATCCTTGGGATAGCTAGAAGATGGACCACTTTGTGGTAAGTGTATTCTGTGTTCAGGATCAAGGCCAGGTTGAAACATGTACCCTTGGGGGTTTCTGTTGGTTCCATAGGACACATACATTGCAGGTTCACTCCTGCTAGCAAGTACTCTTACTTGTGGCTCAGTCCAACTTGTGTTACCACTATGTACTTGTTGAGACCTGTGGGTACTAGCCAACAATGGGTTGAACTCAGTTCCAATGATGTTTGGGTGGGACAGTTGGGTCCTGGGTACTGGATGTTGATGGGTACCAGCTGGTTGGTTCCAACTTGATGTTTGATGTATATCAGGCACTTGGTAGTCTTGTACCAAGCTGGATTGATGGGTAACAGGGTACCTGTACCCAGTGTGAGGTGCATTATTGTACCCATTTGACTGAGTCAGGGTAGCATGCTGGCTGGTGGTCTGGTGATCAGTTACTCTGAGTGTTCTTAGCTGACGTTCTTTGTGTGGTGTATTTGACTGATTCTTTTTAACCACTGGTGCATAATCTGGCGCTGGTTTGGTGGGCGACTGTGGGGCCATGCCGAACTATCCATGCACAACAAAAATAAAAAAGGCAACACCAACTCTTTCAAACACCTGTCAGTAATATTTAACGGAATCAAGACGCCATGCAAGTAACAACCAGCACTTGATCCCCAATCAAGTTGTGAAATTACTACATACTTGTACATACATAGACTAATCTTAGCTGCAACTTGACAAAGCATTATCCAACTCTCTCTTCTGACCACCCTCTGCTTCTTTTCAATAAAACCAACCTTTGGAGGTGATGCTCGATGATGTAAAGACAAAGCAAGCTTCTCTTGTTCAGATGCTAGCTGTGACTGGTACTCAGCTAGAAGCTTTTGACATTCTAAATATTGTTTCTGAGTCAGTGCTGTATGGTTAAAGAAAGTTGTAAAGGTTCATTCCATTTTACAAATTGAAATAACCTTAATTTACATCGATGGAAAAAAGACAACTTAACCCTAACCCTCCTCAGTCCTCCAACAGGTGAAGGATCGAGGAGGGTTAGGGTTAAAGAGTAAAGATTACTGATAGCAAATATAATTGCAATAAATTTTGGGCAGTAAGCCTCTACAAAGGATATGTTCTCTCTCTTGTATAATGGCTGCCATCTGTTCGTGTAATTTGTTAACTTTATCTTCATAAGAGCGTCGCTCTACACTGAGTTGCTGAACAATTACCTCCTTCTCCTCTCCTGCCCTGCAGGACAAAGAATGGGAGAAGAAATGAAGGAATGATTTTTAAAAGTTCTAATATGAATGAAAACATATTCCTCTTAATTGGGTGAGGAAAAGGAGAAAAGAGAAGAAGTGGTTTCCTTACTTTGCTAATTCTCTGATCAAATTAGCAATCCTCTTTTTGTCTTCTGGTTTGAGATCCTTCAGCGATGGCTTGTCTTTTAACCTTGGGGCTTCCTGTCAATTAAGCATGTAAATTTCTGACAAACACTTGGCACCACAAGCAGCTGGAGTTTCTATGCAAGAAAACATGAATCTAAATATTACTTTGACATAAAACTGAAACAAATCTTATTTTTTAGACAAAAGTAAACGATAGCAACATTACCACTGATGATGTTTTTGACTTGTGTATGTCTTTGTCCTTCCTCCTATCATGATTTTCCACTCTGCTTTCAGTGTTAGTTCGTTCCTTCATCAATCTTTCATCTCCTGAAGCTTTCATTGCTTTATTCAACATATCGTTAGACTGATGAAACTTCATTTTCTGTGTCATTTTTATGTTACCTGGCTGGTCAACTCCTGTAAGTACAGGCATCACAGCTCATTAATAATTAGGTTAAATTACAGACTGACATGAAGATTTCAATTTTTCCCTAGAGTTATTTCTTACTGAAAATAATAAAATAACCTAAATTAAAGTCTAATTTAGCAGGGAAAATTTAAGGTCATGGAGGTATTCACGTAGAAAACACATGTAATTTTTCTGACCAATCATAGTGCATGGGTGTCAAGCAGTGTCATGATACCTGTACAGAACTCACCCCTATCCTACATCTCTACATTTAACATGATTAAGGCTCAGTCGAAAATTAACTAGGCTTGGCCCTAACATACATGTAAGGCGTAGGCCAGGGCTACTTTTCCCAACTTACCAGGGACAAATGAATGCAAGTAGCCATCAGAGTCCTTGTTGTAACTCCTCTCTGAAATGAAATGTCAAGGAATACAACAGCTTGAACAGGCATGACAGCAACACCACCATTACTGTTCATCAGCCTACACTTCTGCCCAATGGCTTATTTATTCCACTAAGACTAAGTCTTTGTCACACATGACACTGTAGTACACATTAAGACTGGCATATATGTATGATGTAGCACATAAAAGCACCATGCAAGCACACAGTTACATCATAGAGCTATATATACATGTACGTGTAATTTATAAACACTCTCAGGTCTAAGTTACGTTGTTAGCTACATGTAGCCCAGGCTGGACGACGTCTACATTACATTGCGACAGTAAATGTAGAAGTCGTCCAACCTGGGCTAGTCGTTCATGTCCTTGGTATACTATTGTTACGCCCCAACTATAGCATAAGTCCCAACTACTAGTTGGGACAGTCCCAACTGTAGTACTGCAGTTGGGCTGGCCCAACTATTGTTGACCAATGTCCGTGGGAAATGTCTCAACATTATCCAAGTCAATGTGTCTCACACTTGACACAATTCATCAAAATGTGGCACTTCATCTCTTCATCTAGCCCTATGACCAATTACATGACATTTGTAAATGATATGACTTTGGCACATGCTGGACACATGCACACAGGACCTCTCTGCTGTAGTTGGGCCGGCCCAACTGTAGCACTCTAGTTGGGACGGGCCCAACTAGAGTTGGGACTGATGTTGGGGCGTAAGGTTATACGTCAGCAAACAACTCGACTGGGAGTCTCACAACACTTTTATTGATTTCATCCATAACTTCCACATGTATGTATATGTTTTACAAATCTGTCCAATCTTCATCACACCCACAGGCCTTTCAAGCAGAAAGATAACGATACCTTCTCGAGTCCAGAAAATTTCGTGGGGGTTCCCATCTCCGTCCGCCATTTTGGGTTTTCGGAAATGACCGCCGTTGACGTAACGCGCGCATGCGTAAACACGGCAACTTGAACTAAAAACCTTGTTACTCGTCCTTGGATCAGACAATGAAGGTGATTGAACTTATCAAATTTTGGTAGTGAAGAAAGTTGGCAGTAAGACGTGAAAGTTATAAGTTTAAATGTTACAAGGAGGCCATAAGTGAGGAAAAAATTCACTTCTGAAGAATTATGATAATTCTTCGGCCTAAATTCAATGCAAATTGTTTTACGGGAACCAACTATTCACAAAAATTACAAAATGTGCTATGTACTCGATATCAAAAAGTTTATTTTGTAATGCCAGAAAAAAGAATACACATCTTAAAATGCAAAATTGAAATAATATTTCATAACAAGATGCTAATTCGTAATTAAGTGAGAATACAACAAAAAGTAAAACCCTAGAAATGACATTTCAATCCAATGTGTTATCCAAGTACAAACAGAACAAAACCTGTATAAAAAATACAAAACATACATGCACTTGCTCGCTACATTGCATGTTACAGAAATGTTGCATATACACTCTATAAAAATATTTAAACTCACGAATAAGCACAGAACTATATTCCTGATGGTTTATTGCATTAAGTACCTTTACAAAACAATGTTTCTGAATATTTTTTCTATTTCTGTGTTTTATTGATCATAAATATGCAAAAGATTCATTAGAAAGAAAAGGCATGAATTATACGCAATTAAGGAGATTGAGAAAACAGGAGATAAATGGAAAGTATGAAAGAAAAACTTCAGAAAAAAAGTGGGGGCCATGAAGATATGTAGAAAGATGGTCATGTCCATTTGAAATAATTGCGTGGGGTTTACAGAATTAGAATTGAAATTTCCATTTTTTAATAATGAAGACTAAGGGTTTGATTTTTGATAGCAATCTTATATTCTATATGACATCGATTTTGTAAAAATAGTCTTAACCCCCAAAAGGAAGGCATTTGAGCAATGTTTCTGAATTGATACACTTTACTAATAATCAAACATCAGAATAAACTTTTGGCATGCGAAATATAAATCAAAATCTAACCTTTGGCATATGAAACAGAAAACAAAATCTAACAACTAACATTGCAATGTTAATTATCTCATAACTACTATCCTCTGCTGAGATGTGTCAGAGTAATCCACTTTAAAAGAAGTCAGAGTAAGCTTCTGAATACTGTGAGCCACTCAAAATGATAATTAGGTGACTTAGCTTATTTCCATGGAACAAAAGATTTTAAGGAGCCCCGATCTACAAAAGTTCCAAGCAGGCTTTTGCAACCCTTGTAGTAGCCACTATTCTTCACTGCTCTAAGCTGAGGAGGTGGCTTTAATGTAAAAGGCACAATTTCACAAAAAAACTGAGGGTTCAAAGGTGGATAAACTACTTTAAAACTGCCATAATTTCGCCAAGCATGATACATGTTGTACATGCTTTTGTGAAAATGAAGAAACTGCAGATATGCTGCCAATTGTTCAGCCGAGTCAAAATCACTGATATGAATAAAAGACTTCGGAGGTAGGAGTCGTTCATAGGATTCTTTCCTTCCCCCATAAACAACTGGCACCGCCCCTTGCAGGAGACCATTGGTCCAAACCTTCTCTGTAATATAATCATCACACTCTGCATTCTCTAGTGCAAGATAGAATTTATAACGAGTCATAAGATTTGTACACTTCTCTGACAAGGCAGGAAGGCATGTCAAAGTTCCACACGCTCCATACATATCAACAAGGATGTGCTTCTTCAACTCGCTGACAAACTCATGCCGTGGCCAAAATGTGTTGTTACAATTACTGGCCATCCAGGCTATCAGGGCAGTCTTATTAGCTGACCAGTCTCGCTCAGGTGATACCATTTCATCAGAATGGTTGGACAAATATTTGCCATATGGAAGCTGGAGGTCTGCTTCAGAGTGATATGTAATTGAGTGATGATATTGAATCTCTGCAATGTTAGGGTCCCAGAATGTCATCATCTGTGGGCTCTCTACACCGTAGAAAAACCAGTGAACCTGGGGATTCAATATTTGCCTGGAAAGAGAAAAACATTTTAGTTTAAGGGTTTCTGACTTCTAAGGGAAATATAGATGAAATAATGAATATATGTGTGCAAGCATTACAATGTAAAATAAAGGTTAATTCCCAGATTAAGGTCAGATCTGTGTGGATACATGATCTTTTCTCAACCAAAAATGGCAAAAAGAAAAAGATATTTCGATGTTTACTGGACTTCAAGTTCGAGTGGGTAAATGTAGCAACAATCAAAGTTAAAGTTAATTGCAAATATTGCTCTACTGCTCAGTATTATTTCTTTAATACTCACTTTGTACACGTTCTCCAATTAACAGCTGGAATTCTTTCACTGTAATTTGCTTAACAGATCTGTCAAATGGCAACATTAAGTCTATTCTACAATTTACAAAAAAGACAGGTAAAATGAGAGATAATAATATGAAGGGGTATCCAAGAACTGTTCATAAACAAACCTTAGATGGGACAGAAAACTCAGAAGATTTTTTTTGAAAATTTGTGGAAACATGTTGACAATGACTGCATTGGTAGTCTTGAGATACACTTCATCTGTCGTGACTTGGATGTCAACATTGCAGAGTTGTCTAGGACATTCCAAGTGAAGACTTCTCTGGTCAGTATTGCTCAGTTGTGTTGATTGTTCGGAGAACTCATTCAGGAGTTGCTTGTACTCCCTCCATGCTTGAAATGGACGCATTGATGGAGCCAGAATTGTAACACTGGTATTACACTTTGACCTTCCAGCTTTTTGGTGGAATGTAGGAATATTCTCAAGATGATTTTGTCGACCCACTTCTGGCTTTCTACTTGGGTTGTCTAAGATCATTTGCTTAAAAACAAAAGTTTCATGGCTTTTTTGTATGTTTGATCCATGATTTGGGGAATGCAACGGTGGACCAAGAAACTCATTTTTGTTCATTTCCCATTGTGGGAAGATGAATGACGCATGTTTAAGAGTGACGTAAGTAATCAGAGTTGTCACTGCGAAGAACAGGAGTGCAATGAGCCGTAACTTCAGACGATAACCACCCATGATAATGATGCCTTCACAGCAGCTGACAGAGAACAGTTAGTGTGCGCAGGTCTGGCTGTCTGAGGCCTGAGGCTAAGCTTCGTCCGCAACAATGATTGATCTGTTCCTTGCTCTATGGTCTGATGGTGCCGTGGAGTTTGGGAACTTCTGGAAGTTTGGAACACAGCAGCGGTTTGCATGTAATGCACAATACAGTATAGTCTGGTTGATAGGAATCTTCACATGCTAACAACATTAAAAATTCACGGTCCTTCACTGGACTCTTGCTACGATCTCAGACTACTTGACAGTGGTTTTTCTCTCTCTTTAGTCAATCATGCGATTACGTAATCAGTGCATAATGAGTGATCGGTAATGCACAAATCATATCCTGCGATTCGTTTATTAATACGTGGTGTTTGTTTAAGAAGTCTGGGTACTAACTTTTCATTGACAAAAGTAAACTTGCTTGCTTGTTCTGTGATTAAAACGATTATACCGAGTACCCTTTGGGAGTCATGAGAATAAAATTGTATATTAACAAGCTCTTTCCTAGATTTAAACATGGTCTGTCGTTAACAAATGTCTATTTGGTCGGCAACTTATATTCCATATCGCGGAAACTGTTGCAGAATTGAAGCAGAACTTGGTGTGTGCCAGAATAATATTACCAACGACTGAATACAAGTTTAATGTGCAAAACCAGTTACACGGAATGCAGTGATTGTGTAATGATGTACACGATTTCATGAAATGAGACGCACGTTAAACCGAGGTATTTGCGCTGCATGCACACGAACACCAACAGGTCACTTTGCTGAATTATTGGAAATAAATGTGAATTCGTAAGTTGTCTCAGTGTTTCAATCAATCATGGAGAAATTTCTCCATGAATCAATCATCAAATACTCATGGTGTAAATTTATCATTCAGAGAAAATGATGAAGTTTATCCAGTTCCTTGCTCTACGCTCTATGCTTGGAGGATATCCCACCACCATATGGAGGAATTCTCACCATTCATGCCACGCCGAGGCCCCTCTTATTGTTATCTTATTATGACAAGCATGATGATAAAAGTGACATTACACTTTACCTTAATCTAGTCCGAGTAACTTCATGAACTTGGACTCTACAAATCGCCTTTTTAAAATATTTGGACATGGTCGGTCTTCTATCGCACTACCATGTCCAAATATTAATAAAAGCGCTTTGTATAGTCCACGTTACTAGACCATGGAGAACAAACTGGGCTAATCAGGGCTTATCTGCTTGATTATCGGTAGATGTCAAATTTAATGCCAGTATATGGTGTTCCATACATAAACATGGCAAGTAATAAACCCTGTTTGTTTTGAGTCAGTCTTTTTTTAAGGGGTCACCTTTAGCTTTTTGCATCACTTTTATGGGGGGGGATTTGTGTAATGTCACATTTATCTTTGGCATTGCCTTTTTTTAGCAAAATTCATCCACATTAAAGGAGAAACAGTGGGTTTGACAATTTATTGTTTTTCCCTAAATAGTAGAATATTGTGAGGGTGAAACACTGTCACTACATGTAGTCATTCTCCTCTGAGTTTTATTTTCGTGCAGATGTCAAATAACAAAGTACTCTATGTATGTAATTACATGTACACGCTTTTAATAAAGTGTTTTCCGCTGGTTACAAAAAACCAAAAGGACTTCTACCAATGCAAGAAAAAAATGTGATGCCTAAAATATAGAAATGATTGTGTGGAAACAATAGAGAGACTAATATAAAATTTCTCTTTTCAACAGATTTATAGATACTCACTTAATGCTGGAGTTTCTCCATCAGTATGAAGCTGGATTTTGATGAAGCTCTTGAGAAGGTTGGAGGATTTGGTTTTATTCAGCGCTTTCATTTTTCATTGCTTATGGTGATACAAATCTTCCATGCTGCATTTATTGTGGGTTTGGCTTTCCTGGGGAAAGAACCCAACTTCACCTGCAAAGGAAGGATAGCCAGGAACCCTTGTCAACTTGAACCACCTTGCAAAGAGTTTGTCTTCAGCAAAGACTTCACATCCATTGTTTCTGAGGTAAGCTTCTTCATTGCAGGAGTTTATTTGAATATCATTCATTTAAAGCATTTCATAATGGTATGCTATGCACGTTCTCATTACTGCAGTAAAGTAGGCTGCATAGTGCCATTTACAGTTCTTGCACTACAAGAGAATACCGATGATCCTAAATATCATCTCCAAAAAACTCAGTAGATTCTAAGCTTAACCCTCCTTTGCTATAACAGTCAAAGCCAGTCAAAACTTCCTTCCACTTCTCCTTCCACAGTACATAGACATGTTTTTGACTGATAGGACAACTTGGTGCAGATTGCATCTTTGCATAGGAGGGTTAATATGAAAAGAAGCTTCAAGTGGTCTCCTTCAAGTGAATCTATCTTCTTTTTCTCTTTCAGTGGGATCTTGTTTGCGACAGTAAGAGAGAAGCTGGCTATGCCCAGTCATTGCTTATGTTTGGGTTTCTGGCTGGGGTCATTGCCCTTGGTACAGTATCTGACAGATGTGGTCGATTGAAGACCTTTGTCTGGGGAATGATATTTCTAGTAGCTGTCCAGTTAGCTTCAGCATTCTCTCAGAATATCTACCAGTATTCCTTTTCAAGGTAACGTTCCTTTCATACTTAATATAAACAACCTTTTTCTTATAATAATTGCGGTGTTATGAAATTTGTTGAGAAACAGTTGACTTGGCCGAAAAGTATTTCTCCAAATTTTGGAGTTCATCAGAACTCTAGCTGTCATTTTAGTTTTTCATGAAAAAACTTTGATGTCTTATCTTAGTTTATCCATTTTTTGCAGATTTTTAGTTGGTTTCTTTTCTGGAGGAGGTAGTTTAGCAGGTCACATATTAATGCTGGAAGGATTAGTGCCTGGACAACGTGCTTTAATAAGTACAGTCTACCACTGTGGTTTTGCATCAGGTCTGGCGGTAAGCTGAAAGATCCTGTTGTGAAATTGTTACCCCATCGATACATTTGAGCTGCTGGGGTCGTCAAGGTCATCAAATATATAGGAGATGCATGTATCGTAATTCCTGCTGCCGATGGTTATGACTAGCGAGCATTATTGAGGCCATCTGTAGTGATATTGTAGTTTTGCTTTTTTATGCAGGTATTTTCAGCAATGGCATACTACTTTCGAGACTGGAGACAGTTGACCTTGATTACCTGTTTACCCATGGTATTCTTCATTTTTATTCCATTGTAAGTGCCCCCATTTGTGCCAGATGTCAATGCCAAATCAAAGTGTCTCAACAAAATTTAAGCACCAGCTCAATGGAGAAGTTTCAAAGTTACATTCTGTTCCAATAGTCTTAATATTTTGCTTACTCTGTAACTGATGCCAGAAGTGATGTCCAAATACGTGTATTAGATTGAACGACAAATTTCTGTAACTTGCTTGATTTCCAGGCTGATACCAGAATCAGCTCGTTGGCTTGCCTCCAATGGACGTATCCAAGAAGCTGAAGAGCAGCTACATTTCTTTGGCAAGAAGAATGGGTTGAAAGTCAGTCAATCCCTGATCACTTTAATTGACAAAACTGATGATGCTAAGGGCAAGAATTCTGCAGACGGAATGGTGGACTTGTTTCGTACTCCTGTGTTGAGACGAAGAATGATTGTACTGATGATCACATGGTAAGGGACATCTCAACCATCGTGTGCATCACAAAACTGTATCCCTTGCATGCACGTGCAGTACATGTATTTTGTCCATCTTGTCTAAAATAATACACTTATGTCCAGCCCCATTGCCAGTTTCAGGTGTTGGGGAGTACAGTACCAGCTAAGGGGGCACATTACATGAATGCAGATTTGAGGCATGCAGATTTCAAACATACCATACACGAGAATGATGGTGCTCCATCGTGTACCTTGAAGATGAATGTATTCCCGTTGTCATGAAGATCATATCTTTTAGAGCTTTAAGACTTGAATAATTCATTTCTTTCCTTCAGGTTTAGTTGTTGCTTGGCATACTATGGTCTAACTTTTGGTGCCAGCAACCTGGGAGGAAACATGTACGTCAACTTTGCACTGTCTGGAATTATTGAGATACCAGCTTGTCTACTCAGTACTGTAGCATTAAATTGGTAAGAGGGACATGAGATGAACTTGTTTATTAAGATACAAGCTTGTCTGCTCAGTATTGTAGCATTAAATTGGTAACAGTGACGTTTAGTTGAACTTGTTTTTTTACTGATGTCATGTGCCTAAAAAGGCACATAGTATTTAGCATTTGGTTGGTTGGTTGTGGCTATAGACACAAAACCATTCAGTGTTTCCTTAGTTTGTTGGTTGGTTTGTCTGAGACAAAGACAGTACAAGATATCCTAGACTTTATCTCTCTCTGAGCGGAGTGCTTTTCTTTTTTTCTCTTTTATTCTATTTCAGGTTAGGTCGTCGTCCAACCATGGTAGGGTCCTTGTTTGTGGTGGGTTTTGCTTGCCTTGGGGTCATGGCTCTACACAAGTCTGAGAGTGAGTCCCATTTCCTTGGCAAGAAAGTCAGAATTTAACCCTATCCTTTTTTCTGAAACAGGTAAAGTGAGAAGTCACAAATATATTTTGTTTAATTGACAGATGGTGCAATGTTTTCTTCTCAAACATGCCTGGCACTCATTGGTAAAATGGCAATAGCTGTTGCTTTTAACTCAGCGTATCTCTACTCTTCAGAACTTCTGCCTACAGTTCTAAGGTAAGAATTTATTGTACTATGTACATGCAAGGGTCTGTGAAAACAATACATACAAGGGTCTGTAAAATTGTTAAAATATCTTGATAAATAATGTGTAAAAATTTTACTTCAACTTTCTCCCATTCCTGTTGCAGAAATACTGCCATGGGTGTGTGTTCCATGTCTGCCCGCATTGGGGGAATCATTGCACCTGCTCTTCCACCATTTGTAAGTGCAAACTTCTCTATCTTGTTTTGTCATATTGCATCAATAACTTTGTTTGTCAAATGAATTCTCCATTGTGTCACTGGTTACTAATATTGCACATCAAACATCTGGCTGGTGTACCCACCTGCCACTTGATAACATGAATGCCTTAAAGTGATGTGGAATATATGAGGTACAGTGCTGCAGTATTCAAATCATTTGCATAAACGCTACAACAGAAAATTGCACTTGAGTACTGGAACTCTGTGATAGAAGACCAGAATTTTCTGGTGGTGGTAACTGGTGAAGAAAGATTTATTTGAGTACAAGCAGTACTTCCACAAACTAATAGGATTTAAATGTTGTAAGAACTGATCCTTATTCTTTGTATCCAATACAGGGAGAGAAAGTTGCCTATCTAGCATTTGGTATCACTGCACTATCAAGTGCCTTGCTAGACTTGACTCTTCCAGAGAGCTTAAATAAGCAGCTTCCAGAGACCATAATGGACATAGAGAGTGGATTGTCCCTGACTACATTGCATCCAGAAAAACGCCTTGGAATTAGCTAGCCAAAAACAATTATTCATAAATTGGGGCTGTCTAATTTCATCTCACAGGTAAATGGCAAAAACAAAAATAAAAGAAATGTATTTACAACGTACAGTTTAAACTATTGGATTTTTAGTTGGATACGTCTGGAACCATCCCATATATGATTCTGTCAAACCTTTTAGAGAAAGCATAGATTTGTATACTTGGCATTCAAATGCATCTTCATCCAGATAGGAAATTTTTTGGCTCAGAAGTTTGTGAGGTCAAGGAACTTTCATCTCTAAATAGTTTTGTTAATGCTGTTTCCATAGTATTTTGATTGTCCTTTGTTATTCCAAACTTGCCATTGTTTGTATTTGGTTGTAACTTTTTGTTAAATCTTTTTTGTCTAACTTTGTGTTATTTGCTGCTTTTAGTATTTTGTTTCGTGTCTTCAAGATTCCAGTTGGTGCAAATTACTTGCATTATATGTAGTTTAGGAATAGTGTTTAAGCAGAGCAGCAGTTGTAGATTGGCTGAAGGTTATGAACTTAGCATTTCTGGTTTGTAGTGTTGAACTAAGTCAAGTTTAATTCTCTGTAACAGTATTTGGGTTTTGGCATTGCCAATCTCAGCATACTTGTATTTTGGAAACAGAGGCTGCATAGCAATTTAATTTTTTTCTCATATTCAACCCAACACAGAGAAGGAACAATGCCATTATGGAATAAGCATTTTATAGCTTCATGAAGGTATCTTGTATTCACATCTACCCATATACTGCCCGTTAGATAAGAAGTTAGCAAAATAGCAGAAGTACTTCCTGTCTTGCAGTTGTATTCTGAAAAACAATGTCATTTTTAATGCTTCTTTATTTTGAATAGTACTTAAGAATAAAAAGCCTATTACCTCCACTTCCTTTTAAATGCTTTTAAACTTAGCCATTTTTGCAATTTAACTTTTTTTTCCCAGGGCATATATTTTTGTATGAACTGTTTACTACATACATGTACTTGTTACCTCACTAATCTGTACACTATGAAATATTCCACTGTTCTGTGAACTGGTATTAAATAAAGGGAATTCTAATGAAATATATTTGATTCTCATCTTCCTCAGTATTTCTAGTTGGAGGTGTTCATTATTCACATAAACTATTTATCAACCTGACTCTGCATCATGGGGGTTGATAAACTGATTGCCCTTCTCTTTAGCACTTGTAAATTGCAGTGCTAGTCACTTTCTATAAAGTACATGTATAATTTCACCCAAACTAAAACATATGTACATCCTTTTTGTACCACAGAAACAGGCCGCTCCCTGAAGGACAGATGGTTTAAAAACTGTCAAGTCAGAACAAACTAAGCAGTTGAAAAACCCAAGAAAACACGGAGTAGAGAATGTTATGTAAGATGAAAGCGATGTCACATAGTTGCCTGCACTTTATACCACTCGTCTCATGACACATTTTTAAGTTGCGCTACCATAAAAAGAACTAATGAAGCTAAAATGGAGAACATAAACCACTGTTGTAGTAGACTACCTTGGAGTCAACTGTCTGAAGGTTAAAGATCGGTCACAAGGGCATCCAACAGTACTGACAGAGGAAGGATGAAGACCCTAGAAAGGGTTGCCCCGCACAAGGGTTCTCTCTCCTTAGATGTTGACCCGATGAATCAAGGTCAGCTTGTTCATTCTAATAGTGGAATACACCAAAGGCAGCGGCTACGCAGAACAAGGAATCCTGCAGAGTTTAAGACAGGATAAAATGGATGTCAGGTTTGAAGCATGGATCTTTAAAACCCCCAAATCCCATGGCAAGATAAATCCTGCACATTTTCCCTAGACCAGCAAGCCTGTGCTATCCCTTTAGCACTGGCAAGTGGGGATAATGTTCTCATACTTACATTCATGAAGATATCCTGTGCATAGTTATCTGTATCTGAATCCCAGAAACATCTGCAACCCATCCTGCAATTAAAGAATGAAATGATTTAGATCTCATCCTGTATGGCAAACTAGCTTCCTTATGTCCACAGTAAAAACTCTAACTTCACATTTTTCTCTATAGAAAGAAAACTAAGTCATTATCACCCAAAATCACATTAATCAGAGTACACAATCAATGAGCAGGTGCAGCTGCATGTATGTGTAACATCAAAAAAGGTTAAGAAATTCCATCAAAAACTCGGACATAAAAACACCTACTTAACTCCCTCTCCTCTCTGTTCTCCAATCACCACCTGCACAATGTACTTATATCTATCCAATCCAAGGTCTATTAAGGAAAACACAGAAAAACAGAAAATCTAAAGATTAGTACAATTACTGAATACCAACAATGTAGACGGATCTGATGTGGAGAAAATATGTAAGGCATGCATTTACGTTTGTTCACATACCTATTCCAAAGTAAATGTGGGGAAGTGTTAAGCACAAATATGTGACAAGCGTGTACCCCGCAAAGTTGTCAGTTGCAACTCTGGAACCTGTGAACTTTCTGCAGGAAAAATATAAGCTTACCTTTCAATTTATCCTTAATTTGACAACTGATCTGTTTACACCATGCAGTAGTTTCCTCAGCATCATACTGTTTGTCACCAAGGATCTCATTCAAGACAATATGAATCACCTCCTTAGCAGTGACTGGGCGAAATCTTAAAGACATACACAAAAATAATGTATGTTACAAAAAGAGGGGAAAATACACAAAACAGCATTTAAACAATTCTGAAGTGTGGAAGTTTTGTCTCACACAAGCTCGGTAACATTCTCATTTCTGAATGGTGTCTGATTGGGCTAAACCAATATTGTACTGGGCCAGTGAGGCAGAATAACATAAATGAAGGATACTAAGTGATACCCAGTCTGGCTGGTTGATCTCTATGTCTTATTGATTTTAATACACGAATACAAGACTTGGAAAGTGAAAGATACATGTATCTATTTCCATCAACTAGGGTCTGTCACATACATGTACATGCGTCAATCTGTATCTGTGTAAATTTGTGGGCAAAGCATTCTTTTTTTTGATCAGTACATACACCCACGCATGTCGCAGTTGTTTGCCCCAGTTGTCCCAGATGTCTGCCCCAGCTTATAACGTGTGGCAACTATACCAACACGCATGTTGGGCCTATTTGGCCTAAACAAATAATAAAAGAGACCCATGATGCTTACAACAAGCCATTGCTTGTTTTCATGCTTTTGGGTCCCTCTTCAGCCATGGCATATAAAAAGCTCACCATAGGCGTAGTATAGTCAATTCTTGTTAGTGATGTTACCTTTCATTAGGATCATAGGCCTAGGCCTACATGTTATAAAACTGTGATGGTGCTGCAGAAATAAACAAATCTGAATCTGAAATGGGGTCAGTTAACACTCCCACACCTAGGCCTACCATGCCTACAATTTGACCATGTTGACCTAGCCAAGCTAGCACCATAAATTATGCATAACATTTACATTAAGCCTAGGCCTATCCACCTGTAAATCATTCATCAGTGTCTAACCGTGGAGGAAGGAAAGAATAGCTTCCTTCCTCCATTACCATGGTTTGGTACATTTGTAAAATTGTTAATGCCGGTACTACTTTAGGCCTATCCTACAGTGTAGGGGCCTAGGCCTATGCCTGGGCTGTAGTTAGCTCTACTGAGTGGAGTGTTAGTAGGCCTATTTTTCTATTTTCGAATTTTGGACGGGATCAGTACGTAATGTTCAACGACCTTCTTTTAAAGATGGCTACTGTGAGAGCGAGCCCTTGAGATTGATTGGGTGAAAAAAAATGGAAAATACCAGAAAATGAGTGATAAGGGCCTATATTATGAGGCTTAGAAAACGGAGAGGCTGAGGATTATTTCTGTGTGAAAAAAAAAAATGCCCCAACGATTGTAAGAGGGTGCGCCAAACTTTTTCACCTTAATTGCATATACGGACGTGTGGCTAAGGATGGAGTGGGAGTGAGAGTCCGTGCCACACTAGTGGGGCTAGACTAGGCCTGTGGGCTGTAACTTGTAAGGCTGTAGGCCTGCTAGGCCTAGGCTACTTTACTTACTTGTGCATAAAATTCGGCCTTATCGTGTAGGTGTTTTCTTGTGCAGGTTCCACAGGTTTTTCTTCAATTGTACCCTTTTCGGCAACGTCGGCCATTTTGCACGATTTGTCCAAAAAACACTAAAGCCCGATCAGTCCTCATGAGAAGTAACATTAACAACGTACATGTACAACTACAAGCATGGTGATGTAGGGCCTATATGTACATGTACATGCGCATGATGACATGACTACACTACACGCATGACACCCATAAACAACATGGCTGCCTTACTTGACAACAAAAACATAATACGTAGACCTATATAGGGAAACAAAATGGTCTTTAATCACAGGACAAAAATATTACAATATCATAGGGAAAAATTATGCCACCTTTTTCAAATTAAAAAGAAAAATCCTTTATTGTCCTACTTTACTCTAGTTTATTTTGATGTCTGACCTTGCTAATCCTTTGAACTATTGCATGTTTAGCTTTAGCTAAACCTGCGAGACAGAAAATAGTCGTTTCTAGTGAAAGGTCAGGTCAGGCCGGCAATAGAGGGCGCGTTATACGCTGGCGGTAACGATATCCGGGAGGAAAATAAGGATGGGCCGGCCACATGTACATGTACGTACACGTACATGTACGTACGCTTACGTACTGTACGTGTAAACTGTAATTTAAGCGTGAAAATGTCACTACTGACATGTATGATGAGTAAATCTTTGTACTGTTTGATGAAGGTTTGAAGAAGAAGTGCAGATGTCTGGTGAGTAAGTCATTGTATTACCTATTGATTGTTCATTATATGCGTGAAATGCAGTGTTTGAGAATGAGATCTTTCATGTCTTTAGAGAATCGTAAATGAAGACCAAGTAGGCCTAACGTTGGGCTAAAATAATTTTGAATAAACAAGTTCATAACCAATCATTTCAAACAGACTTGTCACTCATTCAGATATCAATTTACTGATGAAATGGAGTTTGAGAGCATGAAGAGAATCAAGAAGAGTCCTATACCCTTCTTTATTGATGTTTTAAACAGGTAAAACCCGGCATTATTTTGAGTCTGTGACAAGTATTACTGAGTTGTGAAGTTAATCTGTCCATCGTCATTTTTTTTTTAATTTAATTTAAATTGGTGTTTGCCTCTACTTTTTAACGGGTAACATACATGTAATTTGGCCGTCAGGCCACGAGATGTGTGCAAAACAGTAAAACCTAAACCTAAAAAGACAATTTGGAAAAAATGTTGCATCCTGAATCCACTTCAGCAGTTGTGTACATGGTCTAGTAGTACTGGGAGTAAAGAGAGTTTTCTAAGTATTTCCCAAAAACATCGGTAAGTGTTTCTCAGTCCAGAATTCGTGTCTTTCCAGCATTTCTGTAATGACTGACTTCTGTTGAGATGATACATGTACATGATGAGAAAAGTGGAGTTGGGATGTAACCTTTTTTCCCTAACATGTACATGTACTCTTTCCTCTTTTACCAGGCTTTGACAAGCTTGACAGCATGACGTACATGTACATGTAGGCCCATTTCTGTTGAGTACAATCAGTGGATCTGCACAGTTGCGCAATGTTTCTGTGATCAGTCTATCTTATCGCATGATTTAGCTTATTTTTTCTTTCCCTATACATACTCTCTCACAGTTGTGGAAGTTTTTTTCCAAAAAGGGAAGTAAAATTGGAGATTACAAACAAGATCAACTGATAGTCATGATTTAGTGCAATGCACTCACACAATCATGCTAATATTTTTAATCAACCAATTCCACCCAACATTGTACATCTATGTATGGAAGTCAAACATGTGACATGCGTTAATTGTAACAAGGTATACCAAGAATGGACTGTGTTGAAATTTATCTTTGGAAACTTTCCTCCTTTGCTTATTTCCCACTTGAAGTGAACATCATTAAGAATTCCAAAACAGGAAGCAAGGAGTTCCAAGCAAATTTGTTTCAACCATGTTGGCATTTTCAGCAAGCTTTCTTTGTCTCATGCGCTATTTTAATTCTTTAACGTAGCTTACCTCTATCAAAGAGGAGTTGACACTTTAAAATATTTGTGTGATTCCTCAATGTTTTGCCAAGCCTTCCTGTCTCAGGAGAGATTCAGTGCTGCTGCCAAACTCGGCCTTGAATACATACTTATAGCTGTGTCTCTATGCCATGTATGCATTATAGTAAGCATATAAAATTGCTGCTTCTTCCAAGAAAAGACTTGATCAGTTTTTGCTAAACTTACACGTACCTACATTGTATACCCAAGTAACAACTGATGGGATCGCTGCATTAAAAATGACGAGAAGAAGATTTTATGGAGTGATTTACCGGTAACTTGGAAAACCTCAGGTGTGTAATAAAATCCATTATTTGAACTTCGAAGATGGAGGACTATTCTAAAGGAAAAGAAATGATACCACCACCTACATGTACAGGTCACTATAAACGTACAGTACAGGTCAGCTGGCGTACAGTATGTGTACATCACACTGGATACTACATGTTCCCATATCGTACATGTATGTATACATATACACATGTACATGTATGTACATGTAAGTATCAGTAGCCTACTACATGTATCTCATTACATGTTGGTTGGTTGGTTGGTTGGTTGGTTGGTTGGTTGTAATGAAGTGAAATTTGTGGTTGGACTTTTATTTCTGATTGCCATAAACAAACATCAGAAAGGAATGTACACGTACATGTAGTTACGTGGTAGATACATTTAATACATTTTTATTATGTAAGGGTACACCTCTTAAGACATCATATCCCCCTTGCCCTATTAGTGCTAAGAGATACAGTACTAGAGGAACTGTGCCTTGACTTCAGAAAACTAAGACCTGTGGAGAGCAGCAAAGCCCCCATCAGTGCTGGCTGTGGCGGTGATGCATGTACACACACTCCTGCACTGTAGTTGTGGGGACATACATGTATACTCGATATTTTACCTGCATGTACATGTATTTTGTGGGGATCGATAACATTGTGGTTTCAGAAATGTCCCCACAACTCAGTTAATAAAAGAACTTGTCCCCTGAACTCAGTGAATGCCTACCCATGTATGCTGTGTTATATTACATGTACATGTACATGTATCTACTCGTAGAGCTTCTGTTCAAGTGTTTGTTGAATAATGACCTTGGTATGGTTTAGTAGGTTTTGTACGTGAATGTATGTGACAGGCATCTCATTAAATAAAACTACATATGATCTGTTTTCCTTCTTCAATAAGTAGCATTTTAACCACACACACCGGAAGCAGAACGATTTTCAAGGTGGGGGGGGACAGTTGTTATTAGACCATCAGGCCTTAGCTATTGTTGGCCAATCGGCCCATTAAGAATGTTGTTCAAGGATGGAGGATATTTGTGATGTGATCTGTAAAAACCTTCCCATGGTGAGCTTTTCCAATTTGGTGCATATCAACTTCAAATTGATCTGGAACTGCCCCGTTTTCAAAACTGTTTAATTCATGATGCTAGACAACCTGCATTCATTTTGTAGACAATTATAGAATCATAAATGGAATGTATCTGGAAACAATCTTGAGCATGTCTAAATTAATTGGAAGTTTATATGCACCAAAATGACAAAGCTCACCATGTTGCAGATCGCATCATACATGTATTTGTGTCAAATTAGGCTTTCAATGTGTAACTGAAAACCCACACAACCAAAATAAACAGGATATATTTTTGCCATCTGACGAATATTAAAATGACTAGAACCAGGCATTATTTGTATAAAATTGTCACTGAGGACAGCATGTAAATTGGCCAAACTTATGACGTGATACGTGGGAATAGTTCTGGCGAGGTATTTAAAAATCACTGCATGTGACGCAGTCCATGCAGTAACTGTGCCCGATGTTACACAGTAAAACACACTGTTGGTGTTCTGAAGTCTTGTCATGTCCTTGCTGGACGATACCAGCATTGCTGATAAGTTACATGTACATGTATCTGCTTTGTTGATTGCATCTTCTTCCCAAAGTTCTTACTAAAATTAGTTTGGCAAAACTGCTTCAGTGCTGATGTCACTGACAAGATTATCTCATCGTAGGAGTAAGAAGAAACCAACTTATCATCAGCGTCACTGTCAGAAAAGACACTGATGCTGAGACTCGAAGGCTTGGAGCCCTTCATGATTGTATACAAATGTATACATGTACCGGTATGCTATACAGCACCAAACAGTCATAGTTATTCCAACTCCCAAGTAACAGAATGGCAAAATGAAACCACTGACTGTTGTTTTCCTTTTTGAGACCGGTGGACCCTCCAAATCACGAACTTTTTTCTCGCATTGAATTTTAAATACATAGTTTTAAAAAAGGAGACCTTGTCTCTGTAATATACTCTACAGTATAAGACATGCATATTGCAGAATAATCTCCTCCATCGTTGAACTGCATGTACATCTTTAGCCCCACCCCATTATACATGTAGGACCTGCAAACAATAGGGATGCAACCCCAACCGAAAAAGTGGGGGGCCACTGACCCCCTGTCCTCCTCCCCTGCTTCAACCACTAGTGACCACACATGTATCAAGATGGAATTTGTTGACAAGTTTGACAATAATCCCACTACTGGTACATGTACGTAGAGACTTTGGAATCAGTTTGGTATGAACTTTGAACACTTCAAACTTTGTGGCAGCATTTTCTTCATAACGTGTAAATTTACCTGTTCCTGCACTGCTTTGGGACATTTCAATTACGTTAGACTTTGAACGGTCAGCTTTGTCAGGACCTACGGTACATGTAAATTTAAAGTTTACTAGGAGTGTACAAAATTGCCTACACTGTCGTGGCTGGAATGTGAGTCAGGACTGAATCGTTTGTAGATGTACCCGCTATTGGCTTAGGTTGGGATAACTTGTGACAACATGAAGGATACATACTACATGTACAGTGTATGTGCCTGTAGTGTGTGTGACATGTGAGTGTTGTGCACTCAAATATTTTGAAATGGAAACAGTTCCGTGCCTTTTCTGTAGGTACAAGTACATTGTATTGGTATACATTTGTGTGCCATGTTTTCGTACACTTTGCATCTGGAAGCAAAGCTTGTTTGGAAAATGAGAATTTGTGTTCAGCGAACTGCAGAACTTTCCAATCCTACAGCCATTAGAGAAGAGTAAAATGTACGTGTGATGTACCGGTATACTGTAGGATGTTGATTGATCAGACTGATTTTTGGTGCACGTGTACCGTGCAGACTACGGTACATGTAGCAGTACAACTGATCATCATCC